GGTGGGGAGCGGGGTAAGGGAACGGGGCTGCCCACGGGGCGGGGTAAGGGAACGGGGCTGCCCACAGGGCGGGGTGGGGAGCGGGGTAAGGGAACGGGGCTGCCCACGGGGCGGAGAAGGGGAGGGCCGGTTTCCTCATTCGAGCAAAAGCGGCCACACTCCGATTCAGAAACTCAGATTTATTTGCCGCCTGTCTCTTCCCTCCTTCCCCCCTCTCCGATAATTGTTTTTTTTATATATATAAATTTTTATTAATAATACAAAATTAAAAACACATTGGACATAGATATGACGTCACTGGTTCCATACATCTTCCAATATTTTACAATAGTATTAGTACTCATATAGACATATAGTTTTTGAGCTTTGCTCACCATTTATAATATACTATTAACACTTTCCCCCTTATTTCTATATATCTATTTATCTTTTAAATATACATTTGTCTATAATCTATATTTTATTCTACCGCTATACATTTGTCTTGGCTGCCCTCTTATTGTCTATCCAATCATAAAAGTGTTCCCAGATTTTATAGTACTTGGTTTCACTTTTGTCCTTGAGTTCCCATGTAAGTCTATCTATCTATTTTGTCCCCCTCTCCGATAATTGTTTTTTTTTTTATTATTATTATTAATTTGTCAAAACGTAAAATACGAACAAAAAGGAGAAACGTAGGAAAATAGGGAAGGAGAAGAGGACGGGGAAAAAGCGTAGGATAACGTGAAAAAGGAAAAGGGTTCGAGTTTGTTGGATGCCATGTGGGTTTGTGGGCTTAATGTGTACTTTTGCCTCGCTTTGTGTTTGTTTAATTCTGTGCTGCCTTTCACTTCTTAAAAGACCCATTAAGTGGGTGGCGCACAAGCTTGAACAATTAACCAGAGAAGGGTTGGACTAGATGACCTCCAAGGTCCCTTCCAGCTCTGTTATTCTTTTTCCTTTTTCCTTCCTTAATAATAATAATCATAATAATAATAATAACAACAACAATAAAGTTGGAAGGGACCTTGGAGGTCTTCTAGTCCAACCCCCTGCTCAGGCAGGAGACCCTATACCATTCCAGACAAATGGCTGTCCAGTCTCTTCTTAAAAACTTCCAGTGTTGGAGCATTCACCGCTTCTGGAGGCAGGTGGTTCCCCTGGTTAATTGTCCTCACTGTCAGGAAGTTTCTCCTTAGTTCTAGGTTGCTTCTCTCCTTGGTTAGTTTCCATCCGTTGCTTCTTGTCCTTCCTTCCTTCCTTCCTTCCTCCCTCCCTTCTGCAACACTGGAAGTTTTTAAGAAGAGACTGGTCAACCACTGGTCTGGAATGGTAGAGGGTTTTCTGCCTGAGCAGGGGGTTGGACTAGAAGACCTCTAAGGTCCCTTCCGATTCTGTTCTTCTACAATCTCAGGCCTTGGCATAAGTGCGGCCCTTGAAACCTTGAACGAAGCCCCAGAGACCTTCAGGGCATGTTTTGAATTGTAATTTTCAGGGTGCC